AGGTGTCCCACCTTTTTTGCATGAGGTACCGAGTATAGCTTTTGATAGTGGGTTTGAAATCACTGTAAGGGATCAGCAGTGGAGATAAAGGCTTGTCAAGAGCGGCTTTAGCTGCAGCCTTGGCGTTTGTGTTACCTGCTACGTGACCCGGCAACCAACAGAGGACGATGTCACATTGGCCAGTAGAGAGGTCGTTGTAAAATTCTAAAATGTCCAGAATGATTGGGTTACTTGAAGCAACATTTTGAAGTGCTTGAAGGCAAGATAATGAATCTGTGAAAACGATGAAGTTTTTTTATTCTGCTGTTGAATATAGGTCAGATCTGAGAAGATAGCTTTGGCCTCGGCAGTGAAAATGGAACTGTTGTCGGGAATCCTAGAGGAGACAGTCTTAGATCCAATGACTAGCACTTGCAACTTGGCCCTCATCCTTGGATCCGTCTGTGAAGATGGATCTATGGGTGTCATACTTGGACTGTAACTGGTTGTATTCCTGCTTGAACACCAAAGGGTTTGTTTCGGAATTTTTTAGTTTAGTGAGTGTAAGATCGACCTGTGGTTTCACCATCTGCCAGGGTGGTGAAGACAGGAGTCGGTAAGGTGCTATGATATTGAGATCAATTTTAGCTGCAGATATGTGTGGTTGAATTCTGATTCCAAGTGGTGGAATCAGGCTTGGCAGTTTAGGAAACCAGTTTTCATAGAGAGGGTTGAAAACACAATTATATGCTGTATTTGACTGATTTGAACGTAATTTAGTGATATATTGCAGTGAAAGTTTAATGCGGCATTGTTCAAGGGAAGGTTCGTTAGCCTCTGCATATAGACTGTCTACGGGAGAGGTCCTAAAAGCTCCCAGGCAGAGCCTCAGGCCTTGGTTGTGGATAGAATCTATTTTTTTCTAAATTGCTTGTGCAGGCTCCACCATACACAATGGAGCCGTAGTCTAGTTTAGAGCGAACCAAAGATCTTTATAAGTGAAGGAGGATATGTATTTGAACCGACTTTTAGTAAGTCCAGAGCCTTCAAGCACTTGGTTTTCAAATATTTTATGTGTGGTAAGAATGTCAGGTGACGGTCGAATATGAGTCCCAGGAATTTGGCTTCTTCTACTACCTCGATGGGAGTACCATCTAAAGATAGTTCTGGATCCTTGTGTGGTTTGTATTTACGACAAAAGTGAATACAATTTGTTTTGGATTTTGAAAACTTAAAGCCATTTCATTGGCCCATTCTTTTATTTTGTTAAGGTAGAGTTGTATCTGCCTTTCTATTGCATGCATGTTCTTACCACGACATGAAATATTGAAATCGTCCAGGAAAAGGGACCCATCAACACAACTGTTCAATACGTTAGTAAGGCTGTTAATTTTGATGCTAAAAAGGGTGACAGACAGGATGCTGCCTTGAGGGACGCCCTTGCAGAAAGACAATGATATCGGGAAATAGACGATCATACATATTATCTAATTAATCTTTTTGTTAAAATAATTTTACAATTTTGAAAAAATGAAAAGATGAAAGAATAAGATAAGGTGGTATTATGACAAGTTACAAATGAAAAATGGAAAGCAAACGTTTTACTTCCTTCGTGGTTTATCGTGAAAATATAAATGTGTAAAAACGTTTTTACATGGGGTTTCCAAAACGTTTCAGAAAAGAGTGGGTTGAACCCTATCTCGCGATTGTTGAGATATCATAAACGAAGGACATCTTCGTCAGCAATGTCCTAACTTTCTTTAAAAAAGAAGCTACAGATGGTTTAATGTTTCTGATGTATGCATGTTTCGCACGAACGCAACATTAAGAACATTCTCAGCTCCCCTGTTTAATGAAGTTAACTCGACCTGCCGTTTGTGCCATAAGACCTCCCGGGTCATGCAGGTCAAGCTGAACAAGCTGTAAGTGTTTTGAATCCCGTCCAGTAAATGCATACACGTATGTAAATTTGTTAATCGTGTCATCCGTTATCAATTAGTTCAAATGAAAACAAAACAATGATATGTTTTAAAGAATACTTCATTTCATCAATACATATGGAAAATATTCAGTCATCATTCTCAGCGGGTTGGTCTTGCGTATGTGTTGTCTGTGAAAAAAAACACATAGAAATTCTATAAATATGTACTGTCACTTCATTCTTGATGATGCTACATTACTGCTAAATAATCATTCTGTGTCTTGAAACTGTGTTGAAGACTACAATTTGAACCAGTATTTATCGAAAGCTCACAATATAAGTACAGATCAATCAGCCTAGACTATTAATCATATACAATAGGAATTTATTACCAACCAAATAAAAGCAGTTTGTTAAATTGTTCAACTGATTTCATCTGGCTATATTGATACTTTCGTCATTTACAGAAGAAAGTTGTTAGTCGCAATAGTTGTACGTGACTGAATATTGTGCATTTCTTACAGTGGACAAAAAATTGTTATAAATGATTAGTTGCCTTTTAACGGCAAGATAAAGTTTATTTAAACGTATTTCTTCATGACATATCTTCATTCCTTGTTTAAAAGTCTCATACTATATTTACTTATGAGGGGACTGACATTTGTTGTGAGCAATCATAGTCTGGCTGTAAGGGAAGTGACGTATTGCTTTGCTATAAAATAACGAATGGGATTCACTGACTGAAATGAATATTATCCCCTGATTTCCTGTACATGGGCGATTAGCAAGAATGTCTACGTAACAAAATCTGTTTCACAGTTTATATACGGAGCAATAGAAACAGGGAACATTCCTAGATTTGAAAACATGTCTACAATTTGGTCATTTAATAATTGGTAATATTATAGTTAAGTTAGTAGTCGACGTTTGTTTGCAATTTAATTGATATCGCCATGCACTCGACATTGCATTATTTGCAAACACAGATATATTGTGACATAGTTTGCATATGAATATGCATTTATCAATCTGCCGCTCTACAAATCTAAAATAACCAGGATTTCTCATTTTGCTTGTACTATAGATTATGATCTTGTGAACATTGATGCTTAGGAAAATCCACTCATTCTAACACTACGAGTAAATGTATACTTGTAAGCGTCACAGTGATGTTATGTCACAAGGAATATATATCACACATATGTTGAGAAAACATCATAGGAATACGTACTGTTACAAACAAAAAATGAACGTCCACAGGCAAGAACGTGAATGCACAGGTTCCTACTCTGACCTGATAAAGTATCTGGGAAAATTCCTGAAAGCTGACACCGATACAAGAGATCGGTTGTCCACGCAGAGAAAGCTGAACTTATATGCAAAGTAGTGTACGGGAGATTATATTTACAATAAAACGTTGGCTCTATAGTAAATAGTATAGTACAAAACTCAGCGAAAGTAATGAAACACATGACATACTATTCCACTTGACAAAATGTTAACAACACTTTTCAAGAACTTATAATTTCTCACAAAGATTTATGTATAGCTGTAATTGCATAACCATTATTTTCAAGGTAATGTACATTCCTGCAGTGAACGGAGACATGCTTATCAGGAAAAGTGAACCTCAAAATGTTTCAATAACAATTTTGTAACGATGTGATTTGGTTTCAATTATACTTTAGGAAAACCTTCGCCAATGTTTCAATAACATTTCTATAACATTGATGTGTATAAGTTTGGATCCTGTTTCTTGATAACATTTTAAAAACGTTACTCGAAACGTTTTCATAACGTTTCAAAATGACATTTAAAAGAACGTTTTAAAAACATTATATAACGTTTTCATGAAACATTTCCCTGAGAAACCCCTAGAAAACATGGGATAAACGTTGTGTGTTAGCTGGGATATAACATGAAATTAGCGTGTCCATCTGTCATTGTAGAAGGATTTTCAATGTATGCAAATGTGCATGAGGCCTTTCAAACAGAAAGACTGAAGTGTGTATGGGTGTGGTGTATATGCGTATGGACACACACACACACGCACAGACATACACATACTAACACAAACACACAACACACACATACACATCATCCTCGATAATCTCCTGGGTATACGTTACGATAACTCTCCACTATACCCTGGATGCATCCACGGCTTGGCCCGATAATTGTATTACCTCCCTTTGCTGGCTCCGCTCGCCGTTACATCCAAGCTTGCCAGTGTCAACGAAGATAGCGGTCGTAGTCGCGAAGGTTTGTTCGCACTGCCACTCAGATTTTTTAGGAAATAATACAGACAAATTGACAGATCTGAAACTTTCAAAAAATATATAAAAGAACTCCTTCTACCTCTTTCAGAGTACCTGTGCATCAATTGTGTTGCCAAGTTTAAACGGTTAGATAATTATGAAGCGAAAGTGAGTTGTCATTGGTTCGCTCAACTTCTCAGCATCGACACCTGATTGGATAAAAAGCCAGCTAAGGGAGGTAATAAAATCATAGGGGCAAGCCGTGGATGCATCCAAGGTATAGTGGAGAGTGATCGTAACGTATACCCTGGATCTTATCGAGGATGACATACACATACTCACAGAAACACACAACACACACATACACATATAATTCTTTGAAATATACACAGTCGGTTCCTAACACACAGGAGCAAACTCCTAAAAAGACTGAAATGAAATCAAGCTGAAATACTAGGAATCAGATAAGAACCATGTACAAATGTTTCTTTCTCGTGCATAAATGTGAAGTTGAAAAACATAACCAGGCCCAGATTTCTTGAAACAAACTTAAGTCTGAGTTGCGACTTAAGTTAGAGTTTTGACTCAAATTTGAGAAAAGGCATTTCCCAGAATGAACTAAAATCGATATTAAACTCAAAGATAGTAGACAATTTGAGTTTGGTGGATAGATTACTTAAGTTGTTTGGGCTTTTTTATTTAAAAAATGCAGTTGAGTTAAAAATTCAGCTGTTTCAAATTGTCCAACTCAGTTTGAAATTTGAGTAAAAACTTAAGTTTGTTTCGAGAAATCGGGGCCAGCACTTTCAGATAAACCCTGACCTGCATGCGTTCGTCACCTGATATACAGGACGACTGTCGTCAATCTCACACTCCGGGAAACATGTGGCTCTCAACAAGCAGTGTGTCGCTAGCTGTGACAGTCCTGGTTTATATGTTATGTCTTGTCAATGGTCAATATCAAGTGACTATCTTTCCCGACTTCGTCATCAAAGGAGGAAGGAAGATGTTTGATCCTGATCGCTGGAATGGCCATATGGGGTTGGATAATCCCGGTAGCATCCAGTACCTGAAGAAAACTGGTTCCAGGTGTGGCCGCTGGAACAAAGGCGATACACTCGATGGTGCCTTTGAGAAGGTAATTGGTGCAATAATACTATGTACTCCTGGTAGGGCATTACTTTCTTACGTTTTTGCCGAACACTTGACGTTATCACTAATATTAAATGACCCATTCACATTTTTCCAATGGAATAGTTTTGTTTTCAAAACTGCTTATTTCTTAAACGAGTTATTAACCGGACGTATGGGGATTTATAAGTTGAACTACAGGCTGGGGGACACACATAATACTGGTAACATCTGGTGAACTCTTTATTGCAGCTGGCAACGAATCCATTTCTCCACTCCCATGCAAAACACTCGCACATTGGCACACACTGATGTTGAACACTCACGTCAGCACAGTCTAGCATACTTATGTACAACGCACAAGGTTCAGCACACTACTATGGGCAACTTACTCAAGTAAGCATACGCTGATGTGTAACACTCTCGCATCAGCACAGAGAGAAACAACATTACTTCAACCTAAGCGCACACCAATTTCCACACATTGGTACACTCTGTTGCAGAACAGTCTCACGTCAGCACAATTACTTCAGCACTGAGGGAAAAACATCACTTCAACCTCAGCGCACACCAATTTCCACGAAACGGTACAATCTAATGCAGAACACTCTGAAGTCAGCACACGCTGAGGTACAACACACGCAATTCAGCAAGGACGGATGTATATCACTTCCACCTCAGCACACAACAATTTAGAACACACACAAGTCGGCACACTCTGATGGACAAAACTCTCACGTCAGTTCACCGTAATGTATGACACATTCACATTCATGTTAATTCACTCTGATGTAAAACATATTCTCGTCAGTACGGATGTACAACACCTTCTGATGTACAACACTGTCATGCTGCTTTGTGCAGGCACCAGAAGACCCTCATCGGAAGGGCTATGCTGATGCAGCTTACTTCCGAAATGCGCACTTCACGCAGAATATAGCTTTATCGCATGTTGAAAGACCGAGGGAGTGTTCAACACATAAGTTAACAGTGCTAAAACTTCCCTCAATTTCTGACTATGGAATAGAACAACCAAAAATGGAAACAACAATATCCCTGTACTGTCGGTCATAATATCGAACACTGCTCTGTAGAGCTGAGGGTAAATGTCGTGTGTTCGGGGTCGATAATCGTCCACTTTAAAAAGCTTTGGCTTTTGTCATGTCATTTTGAAAAAGGTCTGGGAAAACAAGAAAGCCTCGCAGACCTAAAAACTCAGTGAATGCAAATCAAGTCTATACGGTTTTGGCAAGTCAAGATTGCTTCAGCTCTGGATCGAAAGTACGAATTAATCTGAGCTTCCATTCGGAGTTGATTTTGTATTTTCTAGATTCATATATTTGTAAGGATTATGACTTCATATTAGGGACTAGTTTTTTTGTTGTCAGTTGTTAGTTGTCAGTGATGGTTATGCAGGACAAATTTCTCACTTTTCGCTTGAATCAGGGCCATTAAACAATTAAGTAGAAAAATAGCGTAAATCGTGAAATCAAAGTTGAAAGATCTGGCCAAGATTTGCAAGAAGTGCAAATTGTCGTACTACCTGAAGCTGTTTCAACACTACAGTTAATTAAATACATCACCGTGTCTCTTTGCAGCTGAAACCTGGCCACACTGGATGGACACATCTCAACACAAAGGCCACTTCCCTAACAACGTAGATGCTGCTGCTGATATGGCTGCCATGCTGCTCAAGGCCGTCCATGATGGAACCAAGGGGGACGAGCCACCATACTATGAACCTGTCAACGAAGTCGACGGCATGTGGAAGTACAACCTTAACTGGACACAAATTACTGCCTACCACAAGTCTGTCAATGAAAAAGTCAAGGCTACTTTACCACATGTGAAAGTTGGAGGTCCAGCATATTCTGGTGCAATTGCGGGTTTAGCCAAACACGACTTCAAGGTCTGGGTAGATCTCACGGAGTTTATGGACATGGCTCTCAAGCACCTTGACTTCATCTCATTCCATCCTTTCAGTCATATGCAAATCACAGGAGAATCGTATTCCTTCCAGGGTCCCACTGAAGCCCGTTTTGTGGGGATAATAGATCTAATTGAAAGTTATGCCCATTTGAAAACGGGTAAGGATTTTCCCATCATCTGTTCAGCCTATGGTTTGGGCAGTATAACAGGAGTCAACATGCAGAAAGCTAACCCACTGATCGATTATGGATATGTCTACCTGCAGAATGCAGAACTCTTTACCATGCTGAATCACCGTGGAGTTGTCGACAGAGCTGTGGTTTTCCTGGTTGGGCATAGCAATGCTTTTGGACAAAGCAGCATTGATTACAGTCTCCTTGACAAAAACAACCACGAGAGGACGCCAGTTGAGGCGTTCCATTTCTGGCAGGTGCTTTCAAATCGAATGACGTATCTCAGAACAGATAGTCAGTACCATGGAGCTGAGAGAGTCGTGGCATCTCATGCTTTGGTGGATCAAACTTCTAAAACTGTGGTACTTCTCCTGCATAACTTTGACAAGAAACAGACAAAGGTCAAGGTCCAGTTTGGTCATGGATGGACGAATCCGTCCACAGCAATGATGTCTTGTGTCCACTTGAATGCCAAAAAGGTTACCGTACGAGACAAGGAATCAACGGTTCATCTCAACAACGGTGGCGTCACTCTTCCTACTGAGGCAAGCTGCTATCTCAAGTTCCACTCTGCCTACGACTTTGCTCACAGCAAGACCATCACAGAAACTGTTCACTATGGGCCAGATGTTGCTAAACCAATACAGCAAAACGTTGTCATAACAAGCATCAATGTTGGCCATGTGAGAAATGTCCAGTACGCCTATCTACGAGTCTGCATCAGCCTCAGTGACAAGACCGGTAATCCTAAACCAACATCGGTGCAGCTGAACGGCAAATCTCTCACTTCCTATTACTCTCTTCACCAGCAAAAGGAGAGTAATTACGAAACAACATGGATGACGATGCAATATCTAGTTCCGGGCTCATACCTCAAGCAAAACCAAAATGAAGTTAAGCTCCATTTTGCCAAAACAGGAGGACGAGTTATAAGTGTCGTTGCTGTTGTGGGGAGTTTCTAAATAAGCACTTCTTACTTGTACATTTGCGTATATAAAGAATGCCATGCACTATACATGTGTCTGTTTCAGTTTGTTTTTGTGGCACAGCAATCACCGGCGCAACACATCCACCAGGCTTACATTAAGCTTATGATTTGGGTATCGAATTTCACATTAAACCTGACTTTGTAAACTGAAGTTGAAGGGATGTGAAATACTGTAGAAGCACCTTGCTTTATGATAACTATAGATTATGTTATGCCAGTTATTCTTTACTGAATAATTGGTAATTAGATTTTTGGGCATCACACTATGGCTTCCTTTAAAGAATACGTTTATTCGTACATCTAACGAAACACTCACTAAGCGTGTAAGATTGATGTCAGCTATGGAGTCCAATTTGAGTGAGTAGTTTAACCTACCCTAATTGATCACCTGTATCCAATCATGACGTTTTTATAGTCATTGCTTGGGATTGTCAGGTTGGGGCCATTCAAAATTGTCTGTGGAGTAGTTTCACTTCCCTTAATTGCATACCTTTACCTAACCTTGATCTTTTAATATTTCTTGCTTGGGACTTTCAATCTTGTGTAAATACCTTTTCGTGTATTTACCCGACTGACAAAGGTCGTGGCAGCAAGAAAGCCATGAAGTCTTTCATTCATTCTCCCGCATACACCTGTGCTTGAGGGGTTCATCGGCAACTATACAGTTCACCAGCCGTGTGGTTGCTTAGTGACGATGAGGAGGGACAAGGCTCATCTGTTTGTATCCAATTGAAGGGTGTGTCTACCTCCCTCTTTGAGTAAGGCACTAATTTCAGGGCACTGTCGTAGGGCCATAGGTGGATATCTATAGCTAGAATCAGACGGCGGAGACCAGTCACCTGACAGTGCACTTGTTCACAAATTCTGCAGTCGAACAAGTCTCAACTGAAGTCGCCATCTTGTTTATACTTAGTATGCAATTTTTCTTCGCGATTTTGATGGGGTTATATGTAGTTTTGTTTGTCCAGCCAAAATGCAGCTCAACGATGCCAACTAGTTCCAACTAGTGAAAGTGGGCGTTCAAAGTCAGCTATTTCTCGTTATTCGGGAAGAGACGATTTGACGAGTTCCTTCACGTTGCTCTTGTGTACACGAACTTGTAGGCAGGTTGCCACAGTGTTGCTGTGATTGTACGACAGTGCACAAAGTAATTAGAAAGCAAATGACGGACGTCAGTAAGTATTCTATGCGAATTTAAAGGGCCCTTGATAAAACTGACACTGGCAGTGCAGTTAGTAACATGTACACAACTTTCACCTTCATAAATTCTAAAAGCGTAATAGTAAAATTCTCATAGTAACTTGTCGTTTCTATGTAGGACGTTATGCTTGGTATAGATTTGTACCAACTTATTTTCAACCATGCATTTCGGTTGAAAGAGCTAAGGATGCGTCCCTTACCAAACTCTCTGCACTGAATAATGACAAGAAGTTTTGGTGTTGCCTAAAACATAAACTTTACTTTCGGGGATGGTGAGGTAGTGTAATAGTTAATGAGTTCGCTTGTCATGCTAAAGACCCGGATTCGATTCCCCACATGGGTACAATATGTGAAGCTCATTCTGGTGTCCCCTGCCGTGATATTGATGGAATCTTCCTAAAACTGGCGTAAAACTAAACTAACTCGCTGCAAGTCGTTTCCCAATCTCAAACTTACAGTTAACTGGAAATGTGTTTATGAAAGAACCCGGTGTGAAACGACCATCAGCAAAGAGACGTGATAAAATCAACAACTCCATGGCTAAATTAACTATACTCTTTAGAAAAGTAGGGAAACCTGAACTTTCAATTTGGATATGAAGAATAAACGAAGTACAAACCGTTCAAAGACAGACATGTTAGGAACATACCACCATTTCTTTTTACCACCAACCCTAAAACACAACGCATGGGATGCACGTGCACAACGGAGTAGCCGCATACAGAGTGCAATAGGTGTCATTGATTTTGACGGTTCTCAAGAAGGTCGATAAATCACTGTAGACCATTAATTTTGACAATTATCTTGTATCACACGGTTCTTAGTGTTTGTTTCTAGCCGGGTTTTTTCTTTGTTAGAAAATATAAATCATACACATGCAAATTTCACGTCATACACAATCATCTTTCAAGAGGATTACTGTACAAACAATTATGGTCATTAGGACGTGCAAGCGGTGATGCTCTCTCCAAACATTCATTATTATGTAACATATCAGCATTGATTGACTCCGATATATCTCTCAATTTTTTCAATCATAAAAATAAAATGAAGTTCCCCTACTTGTTTTAAGAATATAGTTTACCATTCAGTACTAATGAATACAAAGTAATTACAATGGCCGTAGAAACTAGAGTGGCAATACAAATCTAATGGAAATGTAAATATAAAAACAGGTATTATAGCAATAAAATTAACATCTTACCCCAATCTTTATCCAATAAAACCGCTTCTTATAACTGTGAAAATACTCTTGGTAAGGGTACAGTGGTATTGTTGATGTGCATAGCTTTCGAACGATACCACCAATCAAGCCAAATGGGAGGTATTCCCGCTTTTGTGTCACGTTACCGAGCAGAAAGACAATGATATCGGGAAATAGACGACCATACATATTATTTCATTAATCTTTTTATAATAATTTTACGATTTTGAAAAAATGAAATGATGAAAGAATAAGGTAAGGGGGTATTATGACAAGTTACAAATGAAAAATGGAAAGCAGACGTTTTACTTCCTTCGTGGTTCATCTGGACATTATAAATGTGTAAGCTTTCATTTTCATTAAAAATAAGGTTATTTAAGTTATAGTTGTCTTAATTGAATAATAATAATAATTTTCATATTTATAAACAGTAGCATTAGAACTTTCAAATGGTATATGAAATGTAGTAGCAATAATGTTTTACAAGCTGATATTTTCCTTGATAAATATAGGCTTCATTTATGTATGACCCCAGAGTCTCTGGGAACTCGGTGTCATGGCAGTAGAAGCATCTGTTGAAACAGTTGAGCCCCAGTACATTAGACGTTTGTTTTAGTTCGTCATTTTATATAACTCCTGATTGGACTTTGGACTTGCATACATTTAACGAAGTAAGTCAGGTAAATTTCAGATAGTTGCAGAGGTAGCAATAGAGCAAGAGTATATTTTCAATGGTTGGATAATATCCCGTGTTAACAGTCTTTGTGTAAATGGAATCCCAGCTAAAACAGTAACGTTGCTAAAACGTTTCCGTATCGTTTTAAAAACGTTCAAAAAACGTTTTGAAAACATCATTTTGTGGAGTTGTTTTACGTTTTAAAAACGTTTTGACAAAACGTTGGCAAGAGACATTAGACACTTTCTAAAACGTTTTGAAAACGTTTCAGAAACGTTTGGGTTGAACCCTATCTTGCGATTGTTGAGATATCATAAACGAAGGACATCTTCTGATATAGTTTCAAGGCTCATTTACGAAGACTAAGTGTTCAGAATCCCGTCTAGTGAATGCCACGTATGTAAATGTGTTAATCGAGTCATCTGTTATCAATTAGTTCAAATGAAAACAAATCAATCATATGCTTTAAAGAATACTTCATTTCATCAATACATATGGAAAATAATCAGTCATCATTCTCATCGGGTTCGTCTTACGTCTTTGTTGGCTGTGAAAAAAACCACATAGAAATTCTTTAAATATTTACTGTGACTTCATTCTTGATGATGCTACATCACTGCTAAAAAGTCAATCTGTGTCTTGAAACTGTATGTGGTGACTACAAATTCCCACCAGTATTTATCGAAAGCTCACAATATAAGTACAGATCAATCAGGATAGACCATTAATCATATACAATAGGAATTTATTACCAACCAAATAAAAGCAAATTGTCATATTGTGCAACTGATGTCATCTGGTTATATTGTGTGATACTTTTGTCATTTACAGAAGAAAGTTGTTACACGCAATACGTTTACGGGACTGGATATTGTGCATTTCTCACAGTCGACAAAAACTTGTTATAAATGATTAGTTGCCTTTTAATGGCAGGATAAACTTTATTTAAACGTATTTCTTCATGACATATCTTCATTTCTTGTTTAAAAGTCTCATACTATATTTACTTACGAAGGGGCTGACATTTGTTGTGAGGAATCATGGTCTGGCTGTAGGGGAAGTGACCTATTGTTTTGCTAAAAAAAATAACGAATGGGATTCACTGACTGAAATGAATATTATCCCCTGATTTCCTGTACATGGGCGATTAGCAAGAGAGTCGACGTAACAAAATCTGTTTCACAGGTTATATACGGAGCAGTGGAATCAGGGACTATTCCTATATTTGAGAACATGTCTACATTTTGGTCATTTAATAATTGGTAATATTATAGTTAAATTAGTAGTCGACGTTTGTTTGCAATTTAATTGATATCGCCATGCACTCGACATTGCATTATTGCAAACACAGATATACTGTGACATAGTTTGGATATTAATGTGCAATTATCGATATGCCACTCTGCAAATCTAAAATAACCAGGATTTCTCATTTTGCTTGTACTATTGCTTATGATTTTGTGTACATTGATGATAAAAAACACCACTCATTCTAACACTTCGAGTAAATTTTATACCTGTAAGCGTCACAAAGACGTTATGTCACAAGGAATATATATCACACATATGTTGAGAAAACATAGGAATACGTACTGTTACAAACAAAGAATGAACATTCACAAGGCAAGAATGTGAATGCACAGGTTCCTACTCTGACCTGATAAAGTATCTGGGAAAATTCCTGAGAGCTGACACCGATACAAGATATCTGTTGTCCACGCATAGAAGGCTGAACATAAATGCAAAGCAGTAAACGGGAGATTAATATTTACAATAAAACATGAAGTTAGCGTGTCCATCTGTCCTTGTTGAAGGAATGTGCATAAGGCCTTTAAAACAGAAAGAATGAAGTGTGTGTATGGTCGTGGTGTATATGCTATGGACACACATACACACACATACACACACACACAAACACATACTCACACGAACACACAGCACACACATACACATATATAATTCTTATAAATATACACGGTCGGATCCTAACATACGGGAGCAAACGACAAATTGTTGATAACCCCTAAAAGACTGAAATGAAATCAGGCTGAAATACTTGGAATCAGATAAGAACAATGTACAAATGTTTCTCATGCATACATCTGAAGTCGAAAAACATAACCAGCACTTTCAGATAAACCCTGACCTGCAGGCGTTCCTCACCTGATATACAGGACGACTGTCGTCAATCCCACACTCCGGGAAACATGTGGCTCTCAACAAGCAGTGTGTCGCTAGCTGTGACAGTCCTGGTTTATATGTTATGTCTTGTCAATGGTCAATATCAAGTGACTATCTTTCCCGACTTCGTCATCAAAGGAGGAAGGAAGATGTTTGATCCTGATCGGTGGAATGGCCATATGGGGTTGGATAATCCCGGTAGCATCCAGTACCTGAAGAAAACTGGTGCCAGGTGTGGCCGCTGGAACAAAGGCGATTCGCACGATGGTGCCTTTGAGAAGGTAATTGGTACAATTATAATTTGCATTACTTTCTTACGTTTTTGCCGAACACTTGACGTTATCACTAAAATTAAACGACCCATTCACATTCTTCCAATGGAAATGTTTCGTTTTCAACACTGCTTATTCCTTACACGAGTTATTAAACGGACGTGTGGGGTTTTATAAGTTGAACTACAGGCTGGGGGACACACATAATACTCGTAACATCTGGTGAACTCGTTATTGTATGCTGGCAACGAGTTCATTTCTACGCTCGCATGCAAAACACTAACACATTGGCACACACTGATGTTGAACACACTCACGTCAGCACAGTCTAGCATACTTATGTACAACGCACAAGGTTCAGCACACCATTATGGGCAACTAACTCAAGTAAGCATACGTTGATGTACAACACTCTCGCATCAGCACAGAGGGAAAAACATCACTTCAACCTAAGCGCACACCAATTTCCACGAATCGGTACACTCTGATGCAGAACACTCTGAAGTCAGCACACGCTGAGGTACAACACACTCACTTCAGCAAGGACGGATGTATATCACTTTCACCTCAGCACACAACAATTTAGAACACATACAAGTCGTCACACTCTGATGTACAACCCTCTCACGTCAGCTCACTGTAATGTATGACACATTCACATTCATGTTAATTCACTCTGATGTAAAACATATTCTCGTCAGTACGGATGTACAACACCTTCTGATGTACAACACTGTCATGCTGCTTTGTGCAGGCACCAGAAGACCCTCATCGGAAGGGCTATGCTGATCCAGCTTACTTCCGAAATGCGCACTTCACGCAGAATATAGCTTCAAAATACTCTGCAAATAGAGCTGGATTCGGACGGACCCATGGTAGAGAAATCATGATGGATCTTCAAGGTCAGATCAATTATTATCTTTATCGCATGTTGAAAGACCGAGGGAGTGTTCAACACAGAAGTTACCAGTGCTCAAACTTCCCTTCTTCCCTTAATTTCTGACTATGGAATAGAACAACCAAAAATGGAAACAACAATATCCCTGAACTGTCATAATATCGAACACTGCTCTGTAGAGATAAGGGTAAATGTCGTGTGTTCGGGATAGATAATCGTCCACTTATAAACTTTGGCGTGTGTCGTGCATTTGGGAAAAGGTCTGGGTAAACGAGAAAGCCTCACAGACCTAAAAAATCAGTGAATGCAAATCAAGTCTATACAGTTTTGACAAGTCAAGATTTAACCTAAGCTTCCATTCGGAGTTGATTTTATATTTTGTATTTTCTAGATTCATATATTTGTAAGTATTATGACTTCATATTGGACTAGGTGTTCTGTTTGTCCGTTGTTAGTTGTCAGTGATGGTTATGCAGGACAAATTTCTCACTTTTCGCTTGAATCAGGGCCATTGAACAATTAAGTAGAAAAATAACTTCAATCGTGAAATCAGAGTTGAAAGATCTGGCCAAGATTTGCAAGAAGTGCAAATTGTCATACTACCTGAAGCTGTTTCAACACTAGAGTTAATTAAATACATCACCGTGTCTCTTTGCAGCTGAAACTTGGCCACACTGGATGGACACATCTCAACACAAAGGCCACTTCCCTAACAACTTGGATTGCTGCTGCTGATATGGCTGCCATGCTGCTCAAGGCCGTCCATGATGGAACCAAAGGGGACGAGCCACCATACTATGAACCTATCAACGAAGTCGACGGCATGTGGAAGTACAACGTTAACTGGACACAAATTACTGCCTACCACAAGTTAGTCAATGCAAAAGTCAAGGCTACTTTACCACATGTAAAAGTTGGAGGTCCGGCATATTCGGGTGGCATTTCGGGGGTGGACAAACACGAATTCAAGGTCTGGGGAAATCTCATGGAGTTTATGGACATGGCGCTCAAGCACCTTGACTTCATCTCATTCCACCCTTTCAGTCATATGCAAATCACAGGAGAATCGCATTACTTCCAGGGTCCCACTGAAGCCCGTTTTGTTGGGATAATAGATCTAATTGAAAGTTATGCTCATTTGAAAACTGGTAAGGATTTTCCCATCATCTGTTCAGCCTATGGATTGGGCGGAATATCAGGAGTAGATATGCAGAAAGCTAACCCACTGATCGATTATGGATATGTCTACCTGCAGAATGCAGAACTCTTTACCATGCTGAATCACCGTGGTGTTGTCGACAGAGCTGTGGTTTTCCTGGTTGGACATAGCAATGCTTTTGGACAAAGCAGCATTAATTACAGTCTCCTTGACAAAAACAACCACGAGAGGACCCCAGTTGAGGCGTTCCATTTCTGGCAGGTGCTTTCAAATCGAATGACGTATCTCAGAACAGATAGTCAGTACCATGGAGCTGAGAGAGTCGTGGCATCTCACGCTTTGGTGGATCAAACTTCTAAAACTGTGGTACTTCTCCTGCATAACTTTGACAAGAAACAGACAAAGGTCAAGGTCCAGTTTGGTCATGGATGGATGAATCCATCCACAGCAATCATGTCCTGTGTCCACTTGAACGCCCAAAAGGTTACCATACGAGACAAGGAAACAACGGTTCATCTCAACAACGGTGTCGTCACTCTTCCCACTGAGGCAAGCTGCTATCTCAAGTTCCACTCTGCATTCGACTTTGCTCACAGCAAGACCATCACAGAAATTGTTCACTATGGGCCAGATGTTGCTAAGCCAATACATCAAAACGTTGTCACCACAAGCATCAATGTGGGCCATGTGAGCAATGTCCAGTACGCCTATCTACGAGTCTGCATCAGCCTCAGTGACAAGAATGGTAATCCTAAACCAACATCGGTGCAGCTGAACGGCAAATCCCTCACTTCGTATTACTCCCTTCATCAGCAAAACAACGGCAATTACATAACAGCGTGGACGACGATTCAATATTTGGTTCCTGTCTCGTTTCTGAAGCAGAACCAAAATGAAGTTAAGCTCCATTTTGCCAAAACAGGAGGACGGGTGTCAAGTATCGCTGCTGTTGTCGGGAGTATCTGATCATGCGTGTAAATTCAAAGATATAGAATAAATGTATAAAGAATGCATACACTGCACAGGATCTGTTTTAGTTTCAGGGTACGGGGTCCATAACGGGTTAGTGCCTTCGAGATTCTTACAATAAACATGTTGTATTTAGCGAGAACTCCAGGTTAGACCTGATTTCCTTAAAAGTGTTTTGCTTTGTAATAAGTGTAGACTACTTTATGCGAGGTTTATCAAGGGCTCGTGCATGGAGCTAGTTATCTCAAAAACCAGGTGTTTGCTATCACTACCGATTCTTCGCATTGTCTGGGGGCGGTGGGTAGTCAAGTGGTTAAACCATTCGCTCATCACACCGAAGACCCGGGTGCTATTCCCCACCTGAGTACAATGTGTGAAACCCATTTGTCGTGTCCCCCATCGTGATGTTGCTGAAATATTGCTAAAAGTGGCGTAAAACTAAATTCATTCAATCTTTGCATTACCAGATAACATGAGTTCACGTATGTCGTGCGTACTGTTTTGAACATTGGTCAATAATATAGGTCCTGTTGAGGAAACATGTCTGTCACATTGGGTATTCTTTTCTTTTTGAGGGTGGAATCTCCAACATTCGTCATGTTCTTCTTCTCATTGTCCGCCTGGGATGTAAAGGGAGTTCAACTCACTACTGTAAGGTGGAGCTAGATCAGGCAGGGACTTGAACACTGAGATAAGGATCTTGAACATTAACTCCTTGTCGAATCCGAGTTCCTTTACGTTGCTCTCGTGTTCCTGAACTTGTAGTCAGGTTGCTACAGGGTTCATGTTATTGAACGACAGTGCACAAAGTATTTAGTTGTCCTCAGTTCCAAATCAAAACAAATGACGGACGTCAGTAAATATTTTATACGAATTAAAAGTTCTCTTGATAAAATTGACATAGGCAGAACAGTATAGCATGTAAGTAGCTTTCATCTCTCAAAAATTCTAAAAGCGTAATAGTAAAATTCGTATAGCCTCAATTGATGTTGTGCTTGTTATGCAGTCCAAATTCAATGGAAATATAATATAAAAAGAGGTATTATGGCAATAAAAATAACATTGGTAATTTCCACAGCAGTTTTGTCCCCCAGTCATAATATTGCAACAAACACACCTACTGAATCGTAACAGAAATAATGCAATACAAATACAACGCCGTTCTACAATGTCCACAAACTCTGACACATGGCAAACTCCCTCAAAGGAGAAAGGAAGCTTGACCATAGAGGGTCTTTGGTCATTAAAGTATAACTGCTAAATGTACAGTTAAACACATCGTTCGTGAAGAGTGTGAGAAACCCATGCCCGCCGTCAAATCCCATCACCCACAACCAGCTCGGAATGATGTATCAGCAATAATGTTTTCATTCCCTTGATGTCCACATCACATTCAAGCTCCAGTGCATTAGGCGTTTGTTTTAGTTCTTCATTGTATAAAATAGTGAACGGACTGTGATCCGTGTACACATGTATACAGATGCAAGTATGCAGGTAGATTATTGCAAACGTAGCCAATAAAGCAAGAGGTCTTTTTCAATTGTGGAATAATTTCCTGTATTAACAGAAGGCTTTGTGTAAATGTAATGTAATATAAAGTTAGTGTGTCCATCTGTCATTGTAGAATTCATTTGAATTTATGTAAAAGGACATAAGGCCTTTAAAACAGAAATTAAGAAGTATGTGTATATATGTATGTATAAAATCAGGCCTAAATAGGAGGAATATGTTCACGTTACATAGACAACACATACACATTTCCTTCCTTGAAAATTACAACTAGAAAATAGCATGGCGTCGATAGTCTGTAAAAACAGACTAAAGTGAAATCAGACTTACAAAGTATATGCTCACAGTACAGTGAATTAAATCAGATTATTATCATCTGCAAATGTCACTTTCTCATGTATAAAATGTCAAGTCGAAAACACAGCCAGCTCGTTCTGAGTCAGATAAGGACTGCATGCATTCCGCACCTGATACACATCACGACTGCCTCACTTCTGGAAACATGTGGCTCTCAATAAGCAGAGTGTGGCTAAGCGTGACAGTCTTGGTTTATATGTTAAGCCTTGTCAGTGGTCAATATCAAGTGACCATCTTTCCGGACTTCGTCATCAAAGGAGGAAGGAAGATGTTTGATCCTGATTGCTGGAATGGCCATATGGGGTTGGATAATCCCAACTGCATCCAGGACGTGAAGAAAACCGGCACCAGGTGTGGCCGCTGGAACAAAGGCGATACACTCGATGGTGCCTTTGAGAAGGTAATTGATCATCTTAAGTAATCCCGGTAAGACCATACATATTTACCTTTCAACCGAACACCTGATGTTATCACTAGTGTTGAGTGACCCATTCACATTCTTCCAAAGGAATATTTTCAAGACTGCTTCTTCTTTACATCAGTCACTAACCGGATATTAGTTTTCAAAGTTGAACCACCTCAAGGTTGGGGTTGACACAGACGTTAGTTAAACCGTAACAACTGCTAACCTCTCTACTTTATACGGGGCGGTGGGGTAGCATAGTGGTTAAAGCGCCCGCTCGTCACGCTGAAGACCCAGGTTCGATTCCCCACATGGGTACAATGTGTGAAGCCCATTTCTGGTGTTCCACGTCGTGATATTGCGGGAATGTTGCTAAAGGTGCCGTAAAACCAAACTCATTCACTCACTCTACTTTATACATGCAACGAGTTCATGTTTCTATGTAAGTCTTTTTCTGTGCCAGTCTTAAAAAGAAAGCAATTGATAGTAATTTGGCTATATCATATAACAAGAACAATTCATTATATCACTTAAGTGTTATTAAATCCAAGCAGAGATTCTGCAAATAGAGGTGGATTCGGACGGACCCTTGGGAGAGATATCATGATGGATATTCAAGGTCAGAGTAATGCATATCTTTATGGCATTTTAAAAGACTGAGGCAGTGTTCAACACAACCGTTAACAGTGCAAAAATTACCATTTTCTCTTAATATCTTACCAATAGAATAGATAAACCAAAAAATGGACACGACAATATCCCTGGACCTGCCAATCATAATGTGCAACAGTATTAAGCATAATTGAATGTAAATGTCTTGTGGTCGGGGTAGATTATCGTCCACGTAAAATACCGACGTGCAACAGAAACTTTATCTTCTTTGAAATTGAATGTATTCAAAAGCAACAACAACGAAGTAAAACGTAAACGGTTTACTCATTTACACTTGTGTTAAACTCAAAATTTCGATCTCAAAACACATTATGCAGCCGTAACATATGAAAATGCATACATGGGTATACTCTGTCTATCGAGTTAATTCCACAAATGTTCTATAGGTGACAAGTCAGGGGAGCGAGCTGGCCATGGCAAAGCGTTGACGTTGTTAGTGTTCAGAAAGTTCTGTACAACCCTAGCAACGTGTGGGCTAGCATTGTCGTGATGGAACACGACTCCCTGTGGCTCTTGCTGTATAAATGCCAGAACCGTGGGCCTCAGCACCTCATCGAAATACCGTTGAGCAGTCAGATTACCGTTGACGACAACACGGTCAGTCCTCTAATCACCACATATACCACCACAGACCATGATGCTAACGCCACCATACGGCTCTGACTCTGTACACACCAACGAGCTGTTCTTTCACCTCTCCTCCTATACACTTTAACTCTGCCGTCGGGCCTCAATAGACAGAATCTGCTTTCGTCAGAAAACAGTACCCTAACAGCTGCCAACGTCTGACCTGTCTGGCCCAGCGTAGTCTCAACTGGCCATATCTGTCCGTTAGCGGCGTACCCCAGTATGGTCGATAGCATCTGATACTAATGGCACGAAGTCTTCATGCTACTGTCCATCAAATTATGGGGCGACCTAGTGCCGTTGCTGAAGATGCAATCACCGTCAGGAATTGGTTCCGCAAGTGCAACGTTCTCAGATGCAGGTCTTCCGCTGTTATTGTTACCCAGGGTCTGCCCGTTCGTGGCCTGTCCGATGTCTGACCAGTTAGACTGAAGCATTGGCAAAGGTCCCTGACAGTAACTAAGGAGCAATCAAACGTTGCAGCAACCTGACCAGTTGTAGCCCCAAACTGTAGCATTCCTATAGCCCTCTCTCTTTTTGCTGAACTTACACATAGCATTTCTTGTGTGGTTTTCTGTAATGTCACGTGCCCAGCTGTCCCAAGCTATGATTTTATACCCTTTCCGCACGTGCATTTTGCCTTTATTGCACAACACGTAATTTTCGCAAATCTTCCTAGATGACTTTTGGTACGTTTGGTCGCACTCGTTCCCAAAAGACAAACCCCTGTTTTATATGGTGCCGATAAGTACACACGCACCTGATTATTTCCAATTATGTCAAAAAAATGTCAAATTTGGTAAGACAAAGTTTCTTTTGCACGTCAGTATATTTCCTAGATACATACACTTTATATGTTTATAAGTATTATGACTTCATTTATTGGATAATTGTTTTTTCAAGTTGTCCAAACGGGACATGTAACACACAGTTTTCCACGTTTAGCTTGAATCAGGTGAATTGGCATTGACTTCTAAATAACAATCAAGCACAAAAGTAACATAAATCGTGAACACAACATCGAAAGATCTGGACATAAACTGTTAGTAATACAATATGTGTTGCCCTACTACCCAAAACTGAATCAACACTATGGTTAAATCTAAGATGCTTCGGTGAAAGATCAAAGGCGCCGACAATACTTTATCAGACCATATTGTGCACTTTTTACATTACGTCACAATGTATTGGCGTCACTACGACATTCTAGCCTGCCCCCTTGTAATCGAACCATTTTACATTACGTCAGAATGTAAGCGACGTCACGATCCATGTCAGTTGTCATCGCCTCGTACGGCCTCCTACAGTAAACTACTCCGTTGCATCCCAATTTTTTGGATTGCAGTTGCTTCACGGAGCTAACATCACTGGTGGAAACATTACGTTTATGTTTTACGACGGTTAAAATGTCTCAATTCGACTCACAAGTTTTTAGCGACACGGTAACGTTCACAATGTTTACATTCCCAATCGTGG